ACGGGGTTTCACCGTTTTAGCCAGGATGGTCTCGATCTCCTGACCTCGTGATCCACCCGTCTCGGCCTCCCAAAGTGCTGGGATTACAGGCTTGAGCCACTGCGCCCGGCCCCATAGTGGGTTTTTATGTAGTGAAGGCTTGACCCACACAGAGGAAGTGTAGAGGGCTGTGGGAATTCCCCCAAAAAGGAATGGGGAATTCCATCTTTTGGGTGTTGAGGGCCAGTCTAAGGCTGGTGTCCCTGGACTCTGGTGCCTGGTATTTATGGAATGAAGGACGGCCAAGCACTGAGCCCCTGGGCCTGGCCTCAGGGAAGGAATTAACTATGCAGAAGGCATTTGCAGGCGAGGCTCACTCTGGTGGGTCTTTTCTGTCAAGAAGAGATGAGACCACAAACATGATTCCCTCTCTTGCTCAGCAACACCCTGGTCCATACAGCACAAGGTGCTGGCTCTTCTGGAAGACTGTGGGCCTCAGGCAAGAGAAGACACCGAACTGGGCTTCCTTCGACCAATTCAGCTTCCTGCCATATGCCTAGGGCAAAAAAGGGTTAAATTCCCACTCAGTACACAGACATAAGAGGAGATGGGGAAGTGAACAGCCAGCTGATCATTCACTCAATCATGCTAGCTTGCTTTTTGTATTTAATGCTACATTTTTAATTAATTAATTAATTAATTAATTTACTTGAGACAGAGTCTCGCTCTGTTGCCCAGGCTGGAGTGCAACCTTGGCTCACTGCAACCTCGGCTCACTGCAACCTCAACCTCCCAGGTTGAAGTAATTCTCGTGCCTCAGCCTCCCGAGTAGCTGGGACTACGGGTGCCTGCCACCACGCCCAACTAATTTTTTAATTATTATTATTTTTTAGTAGAGATAGGGCTCACTATGTTGGCCAGGCTGGTCTCAAATCCTGACCTCAGATAATCTGCCTGCCTCACCCTCCCAAAGTGTTGGGATTACAGGCGTGAGCCACCACGCCCAGCTAATTCTACATTTTTAATTTCTCAAGAAACTGATTATTTTATTCTCTTGAACATTTTTCAAGATGGAATTTTGCTTTGCTTACTTTTTTCGTTTTCATAACCCTACTTCTCCCAAATCCATAACACACCTACCTCAAGTTATCACAGGAAAGAACGCCTGTTCTGAAGCTGCTAGCCACAGCCTGTCACAAGTAAGTCCTCAATGTAGCTAACAATAACAATGGCATTACTATTACTTTTACAAAGTGTTTTCCCTGACACCCTCTGGAAGTCCGCCCAGGAAAGCGGATCCACAGCGCTCCTAATTTTAGGGGCCCTGAGGGGAGCCAGCTACATTTCCAAATGGTGGGGAGGGGTGGAGGGTGGGCGAAACGTCGTAGGGAGAGTTGAATAGAAGGAGACAGATGGTGCGTGTGTTGGGGGAAGGGACCAGAGATCCTGGAAAACTTATGTTTCCCAATTCGCAAGAATGTTTCCATTTAACCACTTCTTGCCTGACTCCTGATTCTACACCACAGAAAAGCAGGGAGTTTTAAGATTTGGGGCCACCTGTGCCAAGAGCCTGGCTACTCCGGGTGGAGAGAGACAGGAGCATTTTAACTAAAGGCAGAGCGGTTTTCGGCCCAGCCCCTTAGGTCTGGGACGCAGGTGAGGGGCGGTCTCTCCTTCCCCTGGCAGGGGCAGCGTAGGGGTGGCCGGCGGCTGGGACTGTCCCACGAGGGGGCGCGTCTCGGGCCCTAGGACCCGCCCTCGTGGCGCTGCGCGCTGGGAGGGGACCCGGGAACCCAGGCGGCCGGCGCTCCACCTCCCGTTTCCGGGGCAGCGCGGTTACCTGCACCGCCCGAGCCGCACCTGGCGGAGGCAGAAGTCAGAAACCTAGCGAGCTCAGAGCGGCGTAGCGGAGAGGAGGGACGGCACCCGGCTGCAGGGAGGAGAGGGAGGCGGCAGCGGCAGCGGCGGCGTGGAGGGCGCAGCGCGCCGCGCGGCGGAGGAGGGCAGACGGCGGCGGCGGCGCTCGGCTCGCTCTGCCCGGCCGGCTGGGCGCGCACCCGGGCTCGCACCGCGCCGCTGCGGACGCACATGGCAGCGTGAGAGGCCGGCGGCGGGAGGAGCGGGCGGCGCCGGGTCGGGGACGCAGGGCCGCATGGACAGCGGCGCCACCCCGGCCGGCCCCCACTAGGGCCCCCCATCCGCGGGCGCCACCCCCCGGATCATGGTGCCTCGGCGGCCGCCCGGGCTAAGAGCGGCCGGCTGGAGCCGCTGAGCCCCCGCTGCGGTCGGGAGCTGCATGGGGGAGCGCCGGCAGCGCTCGGGAAGATGCCCCGGCCGGAGCTGCCCCTGCCGGAGGGCTGGGAGGAGGCGCGCGACTTCGACGGCAAGGTCTACTACATAGACCACACGAACCGCACCACCAGCTGGATCGACCCGCGGGACAGGTAGGACCCTGGGACCTTCCTCCGTGCCCCCACTCCCCCGCCCGGGCCCCCACCTGCCTCTGCAGCCGCCGGCTGGGACTGGGCGGGGGCGGGGGAGCTCTGCGTGCCTCTTGAGCTCTCTTCAGTTCGCCACCTCCTGCTCCCCGCAACCTTCTGGAGCGCTGCTCCCGCCTCAGTGGGCAACTGAGAGGAGGCGCCTGCCAGGGAGCTGGCCCAGGCTGCCCCACCGCCATCCCCAGTTGGAGGACTTAGGCCCCAGCCGGCACCTGCCAGGAGTTTTGACCTTAAGCTCTAGCCCCGCCCGCCCCCTTTGGGAAGAGAGGTCGGGCGGGGGCGGGGGTTGGGGGAGCGACCTAACCGGGTGAAGCCGGGTCTTCCCGGGGACGCTTCCACCCAGCGTGGGGGTGGGCGGATGGGGATGGGGAGGTGTCCGGTTTGGAGGGGGTGGTCAGGACCCCAGGATTCCGTGGGAGACCGCTGGAGAGAGGGCACTTGGCTCAGGGGAAGGCATCCTGGGGTGTGCTTTTTGACAGGTGCCTTGGAAGCTGCTGAGAACAGCACAGGGGCAGCCAGGGGGCCGTGGAACCCGAGGGTGGGGAGGAAGTGAAGAAGCGGGGGAGGGCAGATGAGGGAGACTGGTTATCCAAGAATCTGGCAGCAACTTGGAAGCTGTTAGGATGGAGATGGAGGTGAGAGGCCCCGGAAAGCCCTGCCCCTCGCCTCTTTCTCCTCCCTTTCTTCCCTGGTCGGGGGAGGGGGCGGCGAGGCTCCTCAGCCCTGCACCAGCGGGACCTGACCTTGGTGGGTACCAGGCCGCTGTAGGTTGAGATGATGTGCAGACGCAGGTGGAGCCTGAGATGGCTCGGTGTGGCTCTTACCTCTCCAGACTTTCTCCTGGTTGGTTGGCATTTCTTTGCTCACATGCTACACGTACAGATACATACACCCTCTCCATGTGTGTCCTGGAGTCCCCGGACCACGGTGTTGCTGACACGGTCTGTGGGCAGTGTCTTGGGGAATGTGGACTTTAAACGTGTCTGTGACCTTGGGGGTCAGGTCCCTGTAAAGCAACCAAGGTGAATTTCTTGGACTCTTCATCTTGTGTGGTTGGGGTGGAGGTGTCCCAGAAGTGTATGTAGCAAGATGTGAGTTAAAAAAAGAAAATAAGCAGAGAGAAAATGAGAGTTGAGATTCTCGGTATCTTCTGGGAGCACTTACATTCGTTCATTCATTCATTCATTCATTCATTCAGCACTTCCTGGATGTCTCCTCTACACTCAGCACCATGCTGAATGTCTCATGAATGTAATCTGGAAGGTAAATATTTAGTGCTAGAGAGCATCTCTTAGGCAAGCTACCTCAACCTCTGAGCCTGTTTCCCTGTTTGTCAGATGTGGGAGGCCCACCATTTCCCTGAATTTAAAAGGTTTGCTTGGAAGGAAATACTGGGTTGCTTAAAAGTTGGAAGGGATGTAGATCAGAGCCCAACTCCCATTTGAAACATAAGAGAAAATTTGAAGCCCAGAGGTGTGATTTGCTCAAATATTTTTATTTTTCTGCCATTCTGCATACCAGTTCTTCACCAGCTCTGAAGTGCTAACCTTCAAACTTGTCACCCTGACACGCTGCTTCCCTACCCCTACTCAGGTCAGTTGCCGGCTCTGTTACTGTGTTGGTGCACTTGGCAGCATCTTTTCTTTTGTCCTTTTCTCAGAGCAGACACAAGTTCAAGCGTATGTGACCTGCCCCACTTTAGGTCCCTGTAGTTTACTGAGGCCTGTGTGCTGTTAGCAATTGGACGTCCTGTTGGAGGGAAAGGACCGCCCCTGCCAACACTGATAATCATGCATCTGGGGACTTCTAATACAGCAATAGGAGACTCCTCTCAACAGTAATTCTTTACCCTTGGAAAAGGGCAAGCAAGTAGCTTCTATCAAGAACTGATTGGCTAGAGCACAATCTCCCAAATTTTAGTGTTACATGGACCACCTCCATGATTTTTTTTGCTATATCCACCTGTGCTATTGCTTACTTACTCCTTGACTTTAGATCAACTCACTTTAAAAATTTGTGTACTATTTTCACAAATGGGAAACTAGCTATATCTATTGTCATAAAGGGGAAACAAAAAAGATAGGCAAAAACAAAAACAAAAAAAACAGTGTTAGTATATTTTAGCTAGGTACTGTGGCCAGCCTAAGGCCCCAACGCCTTGCTTGCCCAGCCTTTGTTTTTAAGCAGATTGACAAGCCATGGAGAGGAGGCAGAAACACAGTGGCACTTAGGTGAGCAGCTCACCTTCTTCATCTTGTGTCACTGGTTTTTTTGTTTGTTTGCTTTTGTTTTTTAGTTTGTTTGTTTTTGTTTTTTGGAGACAGAGTCTCTCTCTGTCGCCCAGGCTGGAGCGCAGTGGCAAGATCTTGAGTCACTGCAACCTCCGCCTCCTGGGTTCAAGCAATTCTCCTGCCTCAACCTCCCCAGTAGCTGGGACTACTGGCGCACGCCACCAAGTCCAGCCAATTTTTTGTATTTTAGTAGAGACAGGGTTTCACCGTGTTGCCCAGGCTGGTCTTGAACTCCTGAGCTCAGGCAATCCGCCCACCTCAGCCTCCCAAAGTGCTAGGATTACAGGTGTGAGCCACCACACTTGGCCTTGTGTCACTGGTTTCGAAGCTTCATCTCTGTACCTCCTTGTCATCCCACCTGCACTGGGCTGGTGTTGGGCCCCTGAACTTGGGATCCTGAGGGGGGTCTCAGGTCAACTCTGGGGGTCACTATTGTGCTCGTTTTGGAAAAACAACATACAGCTTTGTACGTTTTGGAAAAGGGCTAATTGGAGGATATCCACTTGTGGTTTTCTGGAATTTCCCTCTGGCATACCCCATTTTTGCCTTTTAGTCCTGTCTGTGTGGCCTTGGGCAAATCGCTTGACCTCTCTGAGGTTTGAGTGCTTGAGAAGTGGGTTGGTTAGATGGTCTTCACGGGCCTGCCAGCTCTTAGATATTATTTCAAACCTTTCTGCTTCTCTTACGTCTCCAGACTCCATGAGAGGAGAAGGGGGAACAGGGATTGGCTATGAGAAAAAGGAAGAAGAAATTTAACAAAGCTGAAAAGAACCAAACTTATTTTGGGGGTGGTGGGTTGGGGAGAAAAAATTCTGCCAAGGTAGTTATATCCCTGCAATTAATTAATGCTGTGAGACAAAAAATTGCACTAAAAATTCCACTCCGTGTGTGTGTATGCGTGCGTGTTTATTTGCCTTGGATTTTTCCTTACCTGAATCATGGAGCTGCCCACCCATTCCCTTGAATTTAAAAGAAGTAAGTCAAATGGTCCTGCGGTCAGAAAAGTGATTTCTTAGCCACCAAGGACAAAATAGCGTCTCTGGTTACCAACCCTAAAGAATGTCTTGGCACATTCCTCCCTCTGGGGCTGAGCTGTTTTGTGTGCTGGCCGGCCAGGAGCTGCTGGGGGTAGGGAATCCAGTTTTCAGCTTCCCCTTTCACCAGGGGGTTGGAAGAGCAGCCAAGCAGCCAGCCTTGCCAACTCTCTCCCCTTCTCACCCAGGGGAAGACTGGGAGGCCGAAATTCCTGAGGATGGTTGTCCCAACAACCGGAGAGGGTCCAGTGGACAGCTTGGGTCCTGCCCACTGGGCCAAAGGCTCCAGCAGCACCACAGGCTTTTCCTGAGTCAAGGCCAGACTGGGAAGGTGACAGGCCCTTCCGGAATCAGGTGCTGTGGATCAGGTCTGAACAGCACCTTGGAGCCATGCTCCTTTTGCGGAGTAACTCCGGGTGCTTTTGTGAGCTCCCAGAAAAGGGGCCAGTGTCCTGTGTATTTCACTTCGTGGTATGCAAAACAAATGCACCGATTGTTCTCGGAGGAAGAATAGATCTTTGGGGCTGGCCCTCCCAGACAAGGTTCCTGCAGCCTGATTCCTTCTTTTTGTGCGATTTGTATTCAGACCTTCTCATAGGAACCACCTGGGAATTCTGGGCAGTTTCTGGGACTGTGTGATAAATACCAGAGGCACACATGGCTGGAGAGGCCATGCTGAGAGGATCCAGCAATTTCTCCCACGACTTGAGGATCTTTTGCTAACCCTGTTATTTGAGAAATAATATATATGGTAGGAAGTCAGGTCTACAGCAGTCAAAAAGTCTTAACCTCTGTCAGGTCACAGACCCTTATGAGACTGATAAAGGTTCAGAACTCTTCCTAGAGAAAAGGTTTTTTTTTTTTTTTTTTTTTTTTTTTTTGAGACGGAGTCTCGCTCTGTGGCCCAGGCTGGAGTGCAGTGGCCGGATCTCAGCTCACTGCAAGCTCCGCCTCCTGGGTCTACGCCATTCTCCTGCCTCAGCCTCCCGAGTAGCTGGGACCACAGGTGCCCGCCACCTCGCCCGGCTAGTTTTTTGTATTTTTTTTAGTAGAGACAGGGTTTCACCGTGTTAGCCAGGATGGTCTCGATCTCCTGACCTTGTGATCCGCCCGTCTCGGCCTCCCAAAGTGCTGGGATTACAGGCTTGAGCCACCGCGCCCGGCCGAGAAAAGGTTTTTAAATAATTTCAGGGACCTCCTGGACCCCAGGTTCATAACTCCTGCCATAGATAAGCTTGGAAATTGCTTGCCACCATCAAAAGCCCTCCTATTTAGCTAGGTAGCAAATAATGATTGGGTATTTACTATATTCAGGCAGTCTGCTGACAGCTTTATGTGGGCTATCTCTTTAAATCCTCCTAACAACCCTGGGACTAGGTACAACTATTACCTACCTGAATTACCCAATGCTCAGGGAGGCTTGGTAAAGCCCCTCAACCTTTGTGGAGCTGAGATGTGAATACTAGGCAGGCTCACGCCAGAACACACATTACTAACCACTGTCTCATTTTACTTCCTGCTGAGTTACCTGCAGAATCAAGACCGCTGCTCCAGTGCCTAAGGAATTTGGCCTTGGGAAATGGAGCTAAGACAGGCATGATTTCACTTACTTGTGACCATTCTGGTGTGGCCAGGTCATGGGCACCTAGAGGGCAAATGTGGGTAAGTGAGTCTTTGGCTCCTGGAATCTTGGATCTGCCACTTGCTACCTGAGTTACCTTGGTAATTGACATAATCTCCCTGAACCTTGGGTTTGTCTTCTAATGAATGGGGAGATGTCCATTAACCATCAAGGGTAGTTATGGGTGATAAGTAAGTGAAGGTAGGTAGGGCAGCAAGCATTAAGTCTGACGTGCAGGGGACACTCAGGAATGCCAGTTCCTTTAACTTTTACTAGAAAGTACCTGTGAAACACCAGCATCAAATGGAGCCTGCATATCTACCCAATTTTGCAGCTGGAGTGGACCTTTCTGTTCGTGACATCCAGGCCTCTCATTTCACTGATGAAATTGAGAGCCAGCCGGGTGCGGTGGCTCACAACTATAATCCCAGCACTTTGGGAGGCTGAGGCGGGCAGATCACCTGAGGTAGGGAGTGTCGAGACCAGCCTGACCAATACAGAGAAACCCAGTCTCTACTAAAAGTACAAAATTAGCCGGGTGTGGTGGTGCATGCCTATAATCCCAGCTACTTGGGAGGCTGAGGCAGGAGAATCACTTGAACCTGGGAGGCGGAGGTTGCAGTGAGCCGAGATCGTGCTATTGCACTCTAGCCTGGGCAGCAAGAGCAAAACTCCATCTCAAAGAAAAAAAAAAAAGGAAAGAAATTGAGAACCAGAGACAAGTGACTTGCCCAAGGTCACACAGAAAATAAATGCCAACCTTGAGTCTAGTAAAAGTTTCTTTTTCTCTTTCTCTTACACACATTTTTTACTAAAAATTAGATCTATGTCCTTCTCATCAATGATAATCACACATATTTTATGTGTATGGCTGCCTTATTCTCCATAATCCGTTTTGATTGTATAGACCAGGAAGTTGCATTCATGGTGTGTCACAATCATTTGTGAGTTGTGTCATAGGAATTTGCTATATATCAAATGATTACAGTTCCAGTGATTGCAAGTGAATTCCTATTTTTATAGTCAATTAAAATGGATTTAGAGTTATTGTCAGTCTAATGTCATATTCCAACAAGCTTTTTTTTTTTTTTTTTTTGAGACTGAGTCTTGCTCAGTCACTCAGGTTGGAGTGCAGTGGTGCAATCTCAGCTCTTTGCAACCTCTACTTCCCAGGTTCAAGCAATTCTCGTGCCTCAGCCTCCCGAGTAGCTGGGATTACAGGTGCATGCCACCTCGCCCAGCTAATTTTTGTATTTTTAGTAGAGATAGGGTTTCACCATGTTGGCCAGGCTCGTCTCGAACTCCTGACCTCAAATTATCCGCCTGCCTCAGCCTCCCAAAGTGCTAGGATTACAGGCATGAGCCACTGTGCCCCACCCAACAAGGTTTCTTAAATGAGAGTTAAAACCAGTCTGCCAGGGAAATTACCCAGAACCTCTCTATTCTCCATGCTTCTGCTCTTAATGATCCACTAATACCTGTAGACATATAATACTAATACTTATATACAAGTTATTAGAGGGCTTTTTATCTCTTTCCAAGGCTTGAGTTTAAGATCTACGTATTCCATGGGAGTCTACCATGCTTGGGAACATCCTATGTCAATTATTAAGAAAGAAATGAGGTTTAAAAACACTAGGATTGATAATAGGGAGAAGTAAGAGATTTGGTAACCCAGAGAGGAATAAAATAATAGTCAATACCAACATCTATTGAGTGTTTACTCTCTGCTGCCCACTGAGCTAAGCATTCTGTATTGTGACCTCATTTTATCTTTTCAACAGCCATATGGGGTAAGTACGTCAGATGAGGGAGCTGAAATTTAGAAAGGTTAAGTAACCAGCCAGGCGCGGTGGCTCACTCTTGTAATTCTAGCACTTTGGGAGGCTGAGGTGGGTGGATCACCTGAGGTCAGGAGTTCAAGACCAGCCTGGCCAACATGGTGAAACCCCGTCTCTACTAAAAATACAAAATATTAGCCGGGCGTGGTGGCACATGCCTGTAATCTGGCTACTCAGGAGGCTGAGACAGGAGAATCGCTTGAACTCGGGAGGCGGAGGTTGCAGTGAGCTGAGATCGCACCACTGCACTCTAGCCTGGGCCACAAGGGTGAAACGCTGTCTCAAAAAAACAAACAAAAAAAAGTGTTAAGTAACTTGCTCAAGATCACCAACAGGTGTTGCATCCAGGACTGGAGCCCACCTAGCTGGATACTGACATCTACACTCATACTAGTTGTAGCCTGGTCTGGCTCTGTCCTGGCTTACTAATCCATCTCAGGGCCCCAGAGTGCCCTGTTGACAGCTGGGCTTGAGAGTTACCATTTGTTCTTAAAACGGGTGAACCTGATGTGGATCTCAGGGAGAGACTTTGCTAGGGAGCCTTAACCAGAGAAGCCAGTGAGATCCTCATGGCAGCTTGGGAGCTTAGGAGTTTGGTATAAACTCCACCTTCTGGGAGCAGCTGGCTAACCAGAGCTTTGGGGATGGGAGAAGAGAGATGCAGGCAGAGGGACTCTGAAGGATGCAGTGTGTATAGGGAGTTCACAGTCCTTTCCAAGTCGCTTGGGTAAATGCTCCCAACAGCCAGGGAATGAGTAGCCAAGGCCATTCCTCTCTGTCGCCATCCCTCCCCCTCCCGGGGAGAGGGCTTAGCCAAACTGACCCAATTTTCCAATTCCCTGGGGTCCCAGATTGCTGTGAGAAAAACACTGCCCTTTTGAAGGGAAGAGAATCAGGTTGCCTTAGTTACCTGGAAGGTTGGCATGCCAAGTTCAGGTGCACATAAGGAGAAACAAGGCTAGAATAGGGGAGTCAAAGGTGGCCACTGTCTTGCTGCACGGTTCCCTCAGTGACAGAAGGCTTGATCAGGCTTCAGTGGCATTTGCAGGGAATGCCGACCTAATGTCAGGCGGCTGTCCATGACGTGTATCAGGAGCTCTCTCCAGTCACATGTAGTGCTAGGTGATGAGGCTCTGCAGCCTCCGGTTCAGCAAGAGGCCCTGGATAAGAGGAATCCACTTCACTTGGAGAAGTGGCCTGGTGACATCCCTATCACCAGCTCCTGGCTACTTGCTACGGGAAGCACTTCCACTTGGACAGAGCTGAGGGCTGGATCTGGGCAAAAAACTCCCGTCTTGCCTCTCCCAGCATGGAGATGGCCAGCCAGCTGCACACCTTTAGGTAGAACAGCGAAAGGCTCAGTTGCTGCTGCCTCGAATCGGTTTCAGAGTGAGATAAAGAAAGAGAAAACTAAGAAACGGGATACAGTGACATTTTGTTATTAAACCTTCCCCAGCAGGCCATTTAGCCTTTAGTTCCTGAGCAGCAAAAAAAAAAAAAAATAATGGGGTGGCGGGAGGAGGGGGCAGGCGTTCACTGTTGTGTAGGGGAGAATATTCTCTAAAGATGTGGCATGGGGAAGAGGGGGTGGAGCAGAGAGTGAGGAGGAGGGGAAGAAAAAGGACAAGTGTGGTGGGTCACATGTCCATTCTCCCCACCCCCCACCGCTTGCCAATTGCCTGCTCAATGCTTCTACCCATGACATCTCTCTGTTGGGAAGAAATGGGATCTTTCAGTTTCAAATGTCTGCCAAAGAAAAGGGATGGAGGCTTAAGTTCTCACTCAATGGTCAGCCAGAAAAAAAAAAAAAATTGAAGCTGCATCAAGATTAGGGACACCTTTGTTGGCTTTTTTTTTCTTCTCTTGCTCCATTCATCACTCTCTGGCAGCGAGGACACCAGGCCAACTGCAGCTGCTGACTTTCCCCAGTCGGCTGCCTGCTGTTGCCCGGGCCTGTTTTGGTAGCAGCCCCCACAATGGCTTCCTCCCTGCCCAGTGGCGGTTACTTGTTGGATTCGTCCCTGGGGCAGCCCCTGGGATCCACTGATGGGTAACAGACTTGGAAGGATGAAATGTCAAGGTGGCTGCTAGGATGAGATGACCCTGGGACAGCCTTCCAGTCCTACATCTGTCGTGGCTTTTCTTGGAGAGTCGCGCTGTGAGCATTTCACTGTGTATTCCAGGAATTTCTTACGAGTGCATTGTTTGACTTTGTATCACTAACAATGAGAACAATAACTGGCACCTGGTGATAATGGTGATTAATAATCATGATTGTCTTTAAAGATCCTTATCCAGCGTCTGTCACATGCCAAACACTATTGCCATTATGTTTTTCTGGCATTTTGCAAATGGGGAAACTGAGGCCGAGAGACAACTCAAGTGACAAGCTCATTTTTTCACCATGGAAAAAAAAATGTATGTGTGTGAGTGGTTCCACCCAAACATGGGATTGCACACCACACGATTCATGATTCCCTGTAGTAGATAAGCTCTCCACAAAGATCATTAGAGGACACTGAGTCAAGTCTGGCTTTGTCACTTTAAAATAGTAAGTGGGGCCGGGCACGGTGGCTGATGCCTGTAATCCCAGCACTTTGGGAGGCCAAGGCGGGTGGATTGCCTGAGGTCAGAAGTTCAAGACCACCCTGGTCAACATGGTGAAACACCATCTCTACTAAATATACAAAAAAATTAGCCGGGCGTGGTAGCAGGCACCTGTAATCCCGGCTGCTCAGGAGGCTGAGGCAGGAGAGTCGCTTGAACCCGGGAGGCGGAGGTTGCAGTGAGCTGAGATTGTGCCATTGCGATCCAGCCTGGCAACAAGAGCGAAACTTCGTCTCAAAAAAAAAAAAAAGTAAGTGACCTTGAACCAGTTCCTTCTCAGCTGTAAAACAAGGATAAGGGTAGAACCTGGCCAGGCGCGGTGGCTCACGCCTGTAATCCCAGCACTTTGGGAGGCCGAGACGGGCGGATCACAAGGTCAGGAGATCGAGACCATCTTGGCTAACACGGTGAAACCCCATTTCTACTAAAAATACAAAAAAAAAAAAAATATTAGCCGGGCATGGTGGCGGGCGCCTGTGTCCCAGCTACTCAGGAAGCTGAGGCAGGAGAATGGCATGAACTCGGGAGGCGGAGCTTGCAGTGAGCCGAGATCGCACCACTGCACTCCAACCTGGGCGACAGAGCGAGACTCCGTCTCAAAAAAAAAAAAAGTACAACCTACCTACCCCTGAGAGTCATGGTGAGGATATGACCTCCAATACAGAAAGTCTTAAAACAATGCTTAGTGCACATCATGCCTTCCAGTTAGCTCAACCTACCCTCCTGTGCATTGGTAATGGCAGAGGAACTAAAACCCTTGTTTCTCCCTTGCCAACTCTAGTCTCTTCCTGGTGGGTCATGGCTCACCTGAGCCACGCTGACATTAGAGCTCGCAAACCACCTTGGCAGCACTCATTGTATGAATCAATAAACTCCCCTCCTCCCCCAGTCTTATCGGAGGCAAGCCCTTCTTTGGAATTTCTGGACTGAAGCGACTCTTGCCAGTGAGCTGGCACCAGGGTTGTGTGTGAATCAGGGTAATGAATTGCAGTTGTCATGGCAGAGCTAAAAAGGCTG